TACCAATCTTACTTCATGGCATACGCTGTACATTCCAGTTGGGATACAAACTAGTCTTACTACATGACATACACTGTACAGCCCACTAGGACTACAAACCAGTCTCACAGCATGACATACACTGTAAAGCCCAGTAGGTCGTACTGCATGGCATACACTGTACAGCCCAGAAGGGCTACATACCAGTCTTACTTCATGGCAAACGCTGTACAGCCCAGTTGGGCTACAAACTAGTCTCACTGCATGGCATACACTGTACATCCCAGTAGGGCTACAAACCAGTCTTACTGCATGGCATACTCTGTACAGCCCAGTAGGGCTACATACCAGTCTTACTTCATGGCAAACGCTGTACAGCCCAGTTGGGCTACAAACTAGTCTCACTGCATGGCATACTCTGTACAGCCCAGTAGGGCTACATACCAGTCTTACTTCATGGCAAACGCTGTACAGCCCAGTTGGGCTACAAACTAGTCTCACTGCATGGCAAACGCTGTACAGCCCAGTAGGGCTACAAACCAGTCATACTGCATTGCATACATTGTACAGCCCAGTCGGGCGTCAAACCAGTCTTACTGCATTGCATACTCTGTACAGCCCTGTAGGACTAAAAACCAGTCTTACTGCATGGCATACACTGTACAGCCCAGTAGGACTAAAACCAGTTTTACTGCATAGCATACTCTGTACAGCCCAGTTGGGCTACAAACCAGTCTTACTGCATGGCATACTCTGTACAGCCCAGTAGGACTACAAACCAGTCTTACCTCATGGCATACACTGTACAGCCCAGTAGGACTACAAACCAGTCTTACTTCATGGCATACGCTGTACAGCCCAATTGGGCTACAAACTAGTCTTACTGCTTGACATACTCTGTACAGCCCAGTAGGACTACAAACTAGTCTTACTGCATGGCATACACTGTACAGCCCAGTAGGTCTACAAACCAGTCTTACTTCATGGCATACTCTGTACAGCCCAGTTGGGCTACAAACCAGTCTTACTTCATGGCATACACTCTACAGCCCAGTTGGGCTACACACCAGTTTTACCTCATGGCATACACTGTACAGCCCAGTAGGACTACAAACCAGTCTTACTGGATGGCATACACTGTACAGCCCAGTTGAACTACGAACCAGTGTCTGCGCTATATACATTTAATTTTTTTTTTGTATCTTTTCCAAGTGGTTCAAATTTTCTTATCTGTAAATTTGCTAGCAGCAAAGTAAAATTGCTTGTCATAAATTTGAGCCATTTAGTCTATGTGGTCCCAAATGAGTTATGGAAACAGATGGTGCAAGTCTTTTCAATTGAACCTGGGTATTCACTAGATGAGATTGGCTGTCAAGTGGTGAAATATTTTATTATATACATAATTACATTAACTATAGACATAACTAACAATCCTTTCACAATTAAATTCAGTTTGCTACATAATTGGTATGCTTTACTAAGCAGTATGTATGTTTGAGGAAAAAATTGGTAGTTTTGACACAGGTATTAGAAAGCAGAACTGTGTTCAGGGTATGGTCCCATACTGATCTGCTAATAGTGGACTCCATTTTTGGGCATTCTTCTTTTTATTTGCCAAAATGTCATTATTTTCATCAGAATAAATTTATATGGTACATGTGTGTGCGAGTACATTCTGCCACCACATACAATTTTGATCACCTTTTTATAGAAGTAAAGATGGTAAAGTGACAAAAATTAATAACAATTAATTGTCTTGTAGTCTTTGCGTATATGAACTGGAAAATTTAATATAAAGTCAGTGTGAGCATGTGGGTAGGGCACATGACAACATAGAATTAACTCATGTTGCTTTTACAACAGATATATCAAGAAGATTACATCAAAAGGAAAACAATAATACTGGGAAGGAAAATACAATATTCAACATAATTTTAAAATAAAATGTTGACTGGGTACTAAAATACGCTGGCAATGAATATAAATTCGGAATGAAAAAGAGCACCTTTTATTAAAAATAGTAAACATCTCTGCTATCTGTTTCATATTAATTGACAAATTAAGAACTCAGCGTTGCACGTAAACCCTAGTTATATAACAATAGCAGTAACATGGAAATCCATACTGCAGTCAGTATATTTACATCAGTCACTTATAACTATGTATATTTCCTGTCAACAATTTACAGTTTTCGGAATTCTCCAGTACAATATTTCCACACAAGTCCAGCTGGTAAGACAATGATTTATATGTTTTGTTTTCATGAATAGTTCCAACTTTCTTGTATTCTCCCCCATGTAAATGACAATAAATCTGTGATCCCTGTAACTGCTGATGTATATCTTTATATCAAAAAGCAGCTGCACTCAGTTCAGAAAAGAGCTAGCCGTCATCGTTGGCAATATAATTTATATATTTATAAATTAATTATTTCATCATGGCTGCCAGTTCTTCTGTGAGATCATTAAACATTGTATCTATTTCATTGAATATATCATCCCCTGGTTCTTTTCCATTACCATGTGCTGCTGCATTACTCCCACCAACTGCACCACCATTCACTGTAGTCAATTGCTGATCACTGAAATATATAGATGAACTAAACTTAAATATGTTTAGGTCTTGTCTAAAATCTTTCCTAGATGTCAGAAAGGCTTAACGATCCATATCACACATCCATCTGACAAAACATAAAGGTTGCCCTCACAGTACACATGGCTTTATGATCTATCATACATCACCATACTGCCTACATCACAAACTAAGTACATAGGTTGCACTTACTTGACAATATCTAAACTCTCCAAATCCAAAAGACTTGACTCAGAAGATAAACTATCTCGTCTTTTTGGTGCTGGTGGTGGAATCTTTTTAGCTGACTGGCCTGGAACAAAAATTGGTGATGAGTTGACAGATGACAATGGAAGGTTACCAATTAATTACACTCATTTGTATTATTCAGATATCATCAAACAAGTCAAATATATATGTTTTTTTATGCCACAAATCTACTAATTCACAAAAACAAGTTTGTTTTTTTCATTTGGAGGGGGGTCTACAAGCAAAGTGATACTCTCTTGGTAGATTCCCTTCCAAAACAGTTTACTTCTTTCCCCAGATAGGCAGCAACAAATAAAACTTGCAGTGTTCGTAGGTTTTGCTGACCAATTACTACCACTTATTTCTATTATTTAGACATTGTTAAAGCCACACAAAACAGTAGATGATACTTCAGATGTAGGTGTTTTATCTTACACAACATCTTGCCATAGTGACAACACGAGAGGGCACAGTGAATTTTCAAAATATTTCAATTTGCTGAAACCATGTGTGTAATAGAATTCTGGCCAGAAAAAACAAATGTTGACAAAACACACAGATTTGTAAATATTCATGGAAATCAATGGTTGCCCAGATCCACTGGTCACCAATGCTTGTCAATAAAGAAAGCTTCACACATGGGATAATGTTGGCCATTATATAAAATCTTAAATGCATTTACCATGCATTACCATTTATGAATACAGATTCAATTAAGCTAAAAAAAGATGTGTTTCTGGTCTAAAAATGCCTCACAATTTAAAAACAAGCAGCCTATCGGCTGAGATAGCTCCGCTGTTAGCAATGCACTCTTCAATTAAAGAACTGAAGATGTCATTGGAAAATGAACAATATGTATAGTATCAAAGCAATCAAATTCGAAAATATCGCTTTTCACCAAAAATGACAAAAATATTCACAAAAATTAGAGAATTTGAGATTTTGACATGAAATGAACAAATCTGAGAAGGAATCATCCAAGGTGCTTGCATATCGAATTTGAAAACCTTCTGACTTGCGGTTTCGAAGAAGAAGTTGAAATTGTAAAGTTGACGACGAGGACGGCCACTTGGTAATATGAACTGCTCCATTGTGTCGACTTTGTCGACAGTGGAGCTAAAAGGTTGACATGGACTGTGACGAACAATCACTCATATGACAAGACATGAAATGTCACAGTCCCCGTTATTTGATTATAAAGTAGTACAAGGAACATCTGCAAACAGGTGAATGAATATGTACTCTATGTGGGTACAACTCATCATAAAGTGATTTCCCATAATCTAGTTTTGTACTGACAACTAAAAACTTCCACTGACCCATGTTCAGAATCTCAGAGTACACAAGTGCAACAAAACTATTTGTCATACATGTATACTTGCTCAAGAAACTGCATTCATAAATCTGAGTGAACCTTGATGTACATGACTTCTTTGTTAATCAGGTCTTAGTATATTACCAGGACCTGGGTTTGTTTCAACATCACCACTGGGCATCAGAATCATTCTCATGTTGTCAAATACAATTTTTTATTAATACAGTAAGGTTTATTATTTAAAATGTATTCATTGTACATAGAACAACATCTGTTAATTTAAACAATTGTAAAAGCTATGTTTTCAGAGCAAGTACATGTAATAATTAAGGAAGCCAGTAAAGGTTGGTCTGCTCATAACCTTCAATGGAGAAGTAACAATAATTGTTTGAAGTCTTTTTAGTGCAGTGATATTATTGCATTTCATCATTATTAATGGGTATAAAATACTGTAAACCATTTAATTTTCACTTCTAGATATATTCAGGATTCTATGAAATTTCAATAAAGTCCCTGACACTCCATATTGTAGGAACCCAGAAAAAATTGCCTTGCAAAATTGAAGCAGTTCACAGCACCACTGTAAAAAAAAAAAAGTTTAAAATGAGTATTGTTAAAGATATACACATGTGGGTTCATAAGACATACCGGTATGTACCAATCTGAGCGGTTCTAGAGATTAGTATCACAAGATTTTACTCTCCGTGATTCAATATCAGCCCTATGTATAACGCTGTGTTGATCAGGCGAACTAATTGACAATGGCCCTACAGGTATCGCTATGCAATCACAGTAGTTTTGTATTCTTCTTGCATTTCGACCATGGAAAAATATTTGTTTTTGAGAGTGGCCGAATTATTAGAAGAAAAACAGAAACTATTTTTTTTTAGTATAAATTCTAGTAACTGAAATGCAGGATTGGTAAAGAACAAGACAATAAGCAAGATTGATAAACCTTCAGCGAGCACTCCTGAAATTTCAGATCATTGGTACCATGTTTTTGGATACATTCAATAAAATTGGGTTATTTATTTGATGTAACGAAACATGCATTCACAGCAGACGGAAATTCGTTTGAGATGTTACTGGATTTTTGTATTCAGTTTTCCATTTCAACCACCATCATCACTTAGTAAGCTGAGATCATGCATAAATGCACAGTGTAGTGCCACCAGAAAACCAATTGCTTGAGAATATTTTGCACCATTACACCATTTCAAATATTATATTAATTCACAGACAACAAAATAAAGATTTTCAATAACATATAAGTTTTCCCACAGTTTATGATTGTATGGCAATTACATGGCTTCACCAGTTTTACTCTGG